GTGAGGCACGAACACTGGTACAGGCATTGGCACTCATACAACATATCATTGCCATTGAATACCATTGAACCACTTTTTTGGGAAAATATAAGTTCTTAATTAAATTATATTAAATTTATTAATAGGTTTTTAACAATTTATTTAATTATACGATGCTTAAGCATGTTAAGGTCTATCTTTTAGGCTAATAAAAGTTATACATATATCTCGATTTATCGTCAATTTACCACAATTAATGTCTTATTTTCCCATTTTTGAGGAAGATAAGGGAAGTAAGGAAGATTCCTTATTTTCAGGGATAATATAAAATATGGGAGGGAAACTATGAACCTTAATTATCAATAAAATAATTCTGAAATAAGATAACGTAAACATATTATTACAATACGCAATGGTTTGATAGTAAAATGCTATTTCCATCTAATGGTGTGTAATCACAACTTGCATCCAATCCATGTATAGTTAATAACTTATTAATAATAAGACTGCAAATATTATAACATACTGGTCGTGTATACCGGAAAATATTCTAACAAAACAGGGTTAATAATGTAAAATAGACATTAATACAATTAAATTGACTTTATATGATTGGCTTATAATTTTATAATTAATGGCAATTTTATTAAAATTACTTACTACAATTAAAATATAATTTTTTAATTTGAATATAATTTGTGCCAATTATGATACTAACAATTTTGTTAAATTAAAAAATAAAAACTAAAACTTATATCTAAATGTTTGAAAATTGTTAATTTATTTAATTGAATTAATAATAATAATTCACAAATTATATCATAATTCAAAATACTATAATTCAAAAATAAAATGTTCAATATAATCAAGGTACAATCATATCGTGGTGACCAGTCTTAACATGTATGGGTCCGTTGAGGTCCATATTTGCGGCATTTAATATATCTATAAAGGCGTCCACCCGTTCGCTATGTTCGGGCCATTTGTCCCTGTGATCGATGTTAATCTGGTCGTGCGGGTGCTTAAAATCGTCCTGTCTCATATCCAAAAATGCCCTGATCCATTTGCCCTCATTGTCAGTCACTACACCACCCTCTTTCACAACTGTCCGGTTGAATATAGCGGGCAAACCATCGCCATCGTTGCCGTTACCATGTTGAATTATGCAGTCGTATAGGGCGCATTTGCCCATGGCACTTTTAAAATGGGCAACATCTGCCCATTTCATCGCTGGACTAAACACAGTATGAAATATATAAATAAATAATTTTTATAGAATAGTGAAAAATATTATCAAGGTTGTGAATATTATATTTATAAAATGTTGAGCCGGTTGTGTTTCATCAAAACTAAACATTAAATGCTATAATTGAACCTTTGTAATATAATATATTTTATTACAGTTATTTAAAATTTAAGAAATAAATTATTTGTATTACTCATGATTCACAATCCGGCATAGAAAACAAATATGATAATTAAATATTAAAATATGTGTACAAATAGTGACATGATAATAATTGACAAACTTGTATGACATGGAAGCCGACACTTCATCCTGAGTCTCATTAAACACGCGATCAGATGTGGCGGACAAATGCCAGGCGTCGGGAAAGCCGACCAAACCTGTCGTATCGTTACTGAACTCTTCGGCCAATCGTTTTAATTCAGGCAAATACTCGGCCAAAGAGTTGACCGGCTTTTTGCCCGTATATTGTTTGACCACTTCGTAGGCATCGCCGGTGGCTGTAGTGAAGCCAAACTTACCGCATGTATAGCCCCGGCCGTCGACAATGTCCTCGCACTCCGTGTACTTGATTTGAATGGTGTCCGACTCGAAGACACTGATTATCCGTTCGCACCGTAGCTTCTGTTCCGGTGAGAGTCCGTTGGCCGACAACTGACCACAAATACAGTATATAATAGTTATTATTAAAAATAACATTTTGTAATTTTTTTATTATCAACAAAAATCATTTTATTCACAATTGTTATGCACATAAATGACATAAAAATGAATTTATAATCAACCAAAATTAGTGAGTAAAAATTGTTGACAACTAATTTGTATTAAAAGAGTAACTATATATAATCACTAATAAATTATATTTAACTATTTTAACTAATTTATGTGTTACTATCTGCAAAAATACTTTGTAATTGTAGTCTTGGATTTACACGACGAACGCGACGAAAAACTCGTGGTTTATATAAATGACTACATATTGAGTGCCAATTATGTGTTATATTATTTAATATAATTTGACGATTATTATAATTATTACAAATTAATGTTTGAAATTTGGTGAGTAATTGTGCGAACAAATGAATGGACATCGAAACTGATAATCCAAACCATAAACCAAACAGCGATCCGATAAACAGCACACACTCTATAAATGACAATTTCAATGACACTTCGTATAGCTTATCGGGTTCTCGAGGGGAATGTAATACAATATAAACTTTATGCTTGCTAAAGTCAGATGTTAAATTATCGGTCTCGTATTGAAGTGCATAATATTGTTTTACACACTCCGTTCCTTCACTGCACCTACGTTTGCAAATTAATTCGCGTTTAGCAAACAAATTATAAGCATTTGTCCATGATTCTTTAACATTAAAATAGCTCCGATTAGCTTCACCATCATCGTCGTATTGTAAGATAAATTGTGATATTTGTCCATGTTTGCTATATTCCAGTTGAACGCATTTCATTACGCATTCATCAATTGTCTCACTCGCCAAACATTTATTTGTATTTAACATATGATTTAATTTTACGGTTTCTTTCCGGTATGACATTTTTAAATAATTGCTCTTAGTAGTATTGAAATTCCACCATGCTCGTTGATAAGTATTTCGTAGCCGTTCCCGCCGTGAATGCACTTTAATAGCAATCCTTTCGATCAAAAATTTATTGCTAAATGTAACCCAAATGGCGTATACATGTTTAATGTTGCGAAAGTTATCCGTATACCGAGTATCTGACTCACTTTTCCATTGGGATAATACTGTAATACAAGTGTCACCAATGGATGCGATGGACCGGCGATTCTGTACTACGGAATTGCAATTATTGTATGTGAAAAATTATATTTATAACGTAAATTTATTTAGTAGTTACACTTATTCAACCAGTTTGACCAGTAAATGTCTAACCAACCGTTTATAGAGTCCATTTTTACATAATAAGAGCAGTATCATAAATATAATTAAATTGTGTCGTATTAAATTCTCGGTGTACATGCATAGTGTTATAGCTGGTAGACTATACTCATTGCTAAACTTTACATTAGTTGTGGTTTCGTATGATAAGTATAGTTCACAGATTTGATAAGTTTGATATGCAAATCCACACAATAGTATGCAGTAAATTATTGAATTTGCTATTAAAGTATAAGGCAACATTTTTTGTTTACAATAACTTGAATTCTAAAATCACAATTTTATAAATGCACAAGATATTTAATTATAATCATAGACATTTACATTAACTATATTAACTTGTTAAATAAAGAATTTTATTACATTATTTATTACATTAATTATGATGAAGGTTTTGATAAGCATGGTCATTTAAATGTTATTAAATCGTTAAACGAGTATAACATCTATCATTAACGCGAAGTTTTTATTCACAAATTTTTGTTTTTACAATAGAAATTATTTTATACATTTATTAAATAAATCTTAAGTAATTGTACATATGCCAATGTATATATTTATTTAATAAACAAAAACTACTTCAGTTGATTAATAGTAAGAACAATATAAACTTTAATATTAATAATAATTATTATTTTTATTTACAAAACTGGTTTATTTATTAAAGTTATTATAAAGAATAAAGAAATATTTTTAACCACAATTCAGTATGAATAATGTATTTTATAAAATTGTTCGGCCCGATAATTATCCATAGACTTAGACTTAGTCATAAACTTCACACTGTTCATAGACTTAGCATTAACCGAATTGTGGTTAACGTATAGCATCGCTGTGTGATCTTTTTTAATTTTAAAGATTAATAAAGTATAAAGTAAACATTTATTTATGAATAACAAATCAATTTTATAAACTAATTCATTTGTATTAAACTTTGACAAAATTAAACAAGTTGTATTAAATTATTAATAATAATTTTGAATAAATATGAATAGATAATTTATTTTTAACATCCCTTTGATTTATTTTCCCAAAACAATCGGACCATGCTGAATTTTGAGTCAACAGGTGCCTTATATATCACCTCATTTTGAATAAAATGATGATCAGATATCACCTGCCGATGAAGTTTCAACGTATCGCTAATGTATGGGCCCTTATGTTTGAGCTTGCACAGTTTATCGACTAAATCGTCTATTTGTTTCAAGGTAATATTGGAGCCCAGGGCGACACCTCTACCGCTTGGCCCGTGAATCACATTATTAATCAACTTTTTCTCATCCCTATAGAGCTGTAACAACTGTTCGAGTCGTACGACTGAGCCCTCGGTGTCAGCGCCGGCGATCACGTGCTTCTCATTAGATATCAGGTGCCGAACGTAGTCCTCGAACGCGTCGTTTATAGGCGTCAACGCATTATTGGCCAGAAAACAGGCAAACATTGACATAGATTTTACAATTATATTGTTTTCAGCGATCAATTCGGCCATCCGTTGGTCTAGAAGTAGTATTTGTTGCTCCTTTAGGTCGGCCACCAGTCGTACCGATATGATCCGCGAGTCCACGGCCTGGTCGGTCACCTTGGTCATTTTAGAGCACGTGTCGTACAGCACATGCAGGTGCTGTTCGTAACTATGACCACATTCTCAACATAAATCCGACTGGTTTAGTATTTCTCTGAATTTACCAATCGGTTTTGATAATTTTGTAATTAACGTAGGTTTATTAGGTTTATTTGGATCACGATCTTTGCCACTGTATCTGTTGAACGCTTTACACCTGAGTAAACCTATGTTGCCCACAATATTACCATGGCTATAGTCCAAGTAGCAAGGTGAATGGCAATCCGTGGTGTAAGTAACCTCGGTTATATCATTAATTGTTTTACGTTCGCAGCACTGGTCGGCGCCGCACACAGTCTTGGGTCGATCTAATGGTACGGATATTATCTCTACTGAAGGAATGTATAACTTTTTGGACAACTCGTCAATAGTTCCCGAAAACCCTCTGATTTGAAGTCTATGTAATTCGCATTGATTTATGTTATCCGCAATATTCTTCGTGATGTCGGCCAACGGTTTGGTTAATAATTGTATGATTTGTTTGGCGTTATTAAGTGATAGGGTGTCCATTACTTTGTGTGCCGGCAGTTGTTTTATGTAATTGAATAGACGCTGACATTCCTCCACAGATCTAGATTATAGTGAAACATTAATTCATATTAAAATAGATAACTTATAACAATTGATTAGCAAATAGAACTATGCTATTTACTTCATAAAAATTTAGAAATTCATTTAATATAATGTTAACGTAAGTTATAAGTTATAGTATTTGTTATACAACAAATAAAAATAAAACTTAATTCAAAATAACATACTGTTCCCAACTTTCATTATAAGATGCTTTAAGTCTTGGTTTAAACTGTATATTATTTGGAGGAACCGATGCCACGAGATATCGAAACGACTCGCTGTCAAAAAAATATGTTGTATTTTCGTTATAAGGGATGTCAACATTTGGCGGTCTTTCCCGGATTTTATCTAATATACTGATCAAAGCGGGACCGGAATCTCCGGGCATGTAATGAGTGCTCCGAGCGTTAGTGTATAGAAATATAATATTATTTGCGGCGCTTTTATTTAAATGAGTAAACAATTGAAACAAACAATACTTGAAAACTACATCAACTCTCACTTCATTTGGCTTTAAAAGCACACAAAAGGCGTTTATTTCTGGGTAATTGCTAATAAAATCCAGAATATTTTGCATATTACTATCATCTTTATCCACACCATCCGTGTCCGCAATTCCCGGCGTATCAATAATATTGAGCTTAATATTATCATCTTGAAATTTATAACACTTTGGGTATTGTGTGGCAGATTTTGTCGGGTCAGTAGTATTTTCATTATCATTATGATTACCCAGTGTTACCTTCACTGGTCTACCTGTCTGCGGGTCTCCAGTGGTGAAGCTGACAGGTATTAAACATATGGGCCGTTCGTTCGCCGCATCCATACTCTCGAAAGACAAATAGTTTACGATTGCGTTAATGAATGTGGACTTTCCCACACCTGACTCTCCCAACAATAATATTGTTATCTTAACTTTCTATTAAAAATATTATTACAATTATTTTTTAATAATCAAATTTTATAAAAATAATTATTATTTATAAATTACCTGTTTTATAAGTTCATTATTTTCACATTTCTGGTTATAACGTTCTGAAGTTGCATTTGCCTCCAGTCCCTCCCCTCGGCTTTTAGCACCGGATTCTTGTGGTAAATGCTTTTGTATGGTATGCCTACTGGTCGGCACCGGTGCTAAAATATCGCTAACTTTCTCTATTAGTATAAAGTTTGAGTTAATTTTCAAAGTGTTGTTTGATCTATGTTTACCTTCATGTTTAGTTTTATTAGCACTGTTTAATCGCCTATTGAAAGTAAATAAAAAATTTTAGTAAATTAATTATTTGTAAATTAAAATAACAAAAATCCTAACAAATTTCAAAATTAGAATTATTTGTGTTTTATTATTATAACATGCTACCTAAGAAACATAGATAACAGTGTATAGAAATAGTAAAATGGTTACATAAAATAATTTATATTAAATATAAAATAAAATATATTTTGACAAATGTACTCACGCAGGTTTTGCAGGTGGAATGGATTCGGCCATTATAGTTTTATCATGATGCAAATTTACCGTTTCAATAAGTAATCTTTATTATAATTAACCACAACAAAAATATTGTTTAGTAGAAATAACATGTGAATATATAAGTTTAATTTATCTAGTAGATAATATCGTAGCAATGAAACGATTTTTATATTTTTGATTATATAGTTTTTATTTATTATGTTTTTTTTCATTTTCATAAAGTAATTAATGTTATGTTATATAATGATTATAATTGTTTTGTTAAGTTAAATAATAAAGTTAAAAAATTTTTATCTTCATAAAAATTATAAGCATTTGTAAAAATAATTGGTTTTATTTAAAAAATTGTTTATATTAATTAATTATGTTAAAATAAAAATATTTAGCATAATATAAATTTAAATGTTATCCAGTAGATAAACCTTATTGTCGGATAGGTGTACTGTATTTGGTTTTAAGCATAGTTATTCCGTCATTAATGTTACACAATTAAAATTTTAAAATTTATTTTAAACTAAATTTTAAAGCAACGAGCAAAATAAATTAATAAACTTAATTTTCATTTACGCATAGATCGAAACAGTAGTGCTATATAAGCAAGAATAGTCACAACAATTGAAATAATAGTCAAAAGGTAAATATCTCTGCCAAAATGATCTTCATTAAAATTCAACACTTCAATAACAATCGTTCCGTTTGGAGTACACGGTGTGACTGGAGTCCCACTCACCACTTCATGCTCGCAGTCGATGTGCTGAATATCGCGCCATTGGTTTATTATTAGCGCTTCGTTACCATAATAGAACCACGAGATGTATTTTATCCACGCGATCCACACTAGTATATCACTGTATTGTTGTAAACAATAAGGTGATACATTTGATTAAATTATGATATGGTATTTTAATTGTTAAACTAACTCGTTATTAATGAAAAAGCCGCCTAATATCATCATGGGCATAATTATCACGGGTGCGATTGCCAGTGCGATTATTACATTGTCACTTATAGATGATACTAAATAACCTATGGTTAACCATGAAATCGTTATTTTAATTAATAATTAAATCGTTATACATGAGAGAGAGTGAGCGCTTATTTTGTGTCCAAAATATTGGCTGAGGTATAAATTAAGTGATATATTCTGGCTAATTANGAGAACACATGCGCTTTCAGGCGCGCCTTCGTATGCATCGGTCGACTACCGCAGAGGCGCGCGAGTGTCGGGTCGATGAAGTCCTACGAGATGTAAGCGATCGATACGTTATATTGAAATTTTTTTAAAAATTTTATTATGTAATTTAATTATTATGTACTTTTATTATTATTTAATTTTATCTTTCCCTATGATTTAACTCGTGATGAATGTGTTTTATAGATTTTCGATGCCCTTCCCCCGCTTGCTTAATTTTTACAACTATCTTTATTAAAATATAATTTTAATTAAATCTACTTTATTAGATACGTAGCTAAATAATAGCTATGCTTGCAATTAATTAATTCACATTTTAACAATTGGGTATTGTTTGATATTAATTAGTTAGGCCTACAGAAGTGCGCCGACACTCGGATCGGCGCTCCGGACGAAGAGACCGGCATTTCCGGCGGAGAGAGAAAGAGATTAGCCGTCGCTTCGGAAGTAATAACTTAAACATAAAAACAATATAAAAATAGTTGTTTTTAAAACAATTTTTACACAATGTTTTAAATATTACATCAAATTTGACAGTTATTAACAAATCCGTCGATACTATTCCTCGACGAACCGACGTCTGGTTTGGACTCATTTATGGCCAAAAATTTAGTGGAAATGTTGCTAAATATGGCCCAAACCGGGCGCACAATTATCTGCACTATTCATCAGCCGTCGTCTGAAGTGTTTTCATTGTTTAATCAATTGTTAATTATGGCCGACGGAAGGGTTGCATATTTGGGCACATCTGGTAAATATATATTTATTCATGTTGTACGTAAAATATAACATAATTAATTAATTTAATAATAACACCATCAATCAAATAATTATAGGAAATGCGTTCGAGTTTTTTAAAAGTCTGGACCTAGAATGTCCGCAAAACTACAACCCATCCGACTTTTATATCAATAAAGTGTCAGTAATTCCCGAACTCGAAGAAGAGTCTAGAGAAAGGATTAATGTAAAGTCAATATAACTTTATATCAAGTCAATAAAATTATTATTTAAATTTAAAATTATTAATGTACCGAGAGCATAATCTGTTTATGGGCAGCTACACCAATTCTTTGCAAAAGAAGTTTAACATTATATTAATGCAAAAATTGTGTAGTGCTCAAATAAACAACAACATTTGCTTATGAAAAGATTGTGCTCTCGGTGTTAATTTCAATTAAAATACTATGAAGGTTATTTGCGATAGCTTTATGGTGAGCACTTATGCAGAATTAGCACTACCGGACACATTCATTGACAGCAACCATGCTCCAAATAATGACAACGACCGCAATCAGACTACCGCCAAATTTGCCTATAAAGTCAAATGGTATATACAGTTTTGGGAACTCTATTGGCGGGCGAATCAATCGGCATACAGGCAACCCATGTTGACTTATATTCGTTTACTGCAAACAGTTGTAAATAATTTTTTGTATAAATTTTATCACAATTCAATTTGCCAATTTATGCTTTTTACAAACACATTGCATCCCTTCAATTGTTATAGGAATCATTGTCTAGTTCAGAGGGTTAACATCAATATTGTCCTGCTTCAATAAAATTTATATAACCAACTAGATTCTAGTTACTAGATATTATTAAAATTAAACATATAAATACTAACCCTAATTCAATTAATGTTGGACATTCCATTCGCAACAAACGAATAGTGGTTATGATTTGCATTTGTTAGCGGACCTTGTTTGCAATTTAAACACTATTAACTGACTTAAAAATTATAATTGTAAAATAAATAAATATAAAAATTATATTTGGCAAAAAGGTTCTGGCATTAATGTTTGGCTCGATCTACTGGCAACTCGATATGAATCAGGCGGGCATTATGTCCATCAATGGCGCTATATTTACAATTATCTGTACAATCACTATGCAAAATGTTTTCGGAGTGATCACCGTAATGATTTAATTAATTTTAATTTCTTAATTAGTATTAATATTTTATTTATATTATTATTGACAGACATTTTGCTTAGAAATGCCACTATTTCTTCGCGAACACAACAACGGCTTGTATAAAGTGAGCGCTTATTTTTTGTCCAAAATATTGGCTGAGGTATAAATTAAGTGATATCTTCTGGTTAATTAAATTAATATTTCTTTTACCTATTTATAATCACCATCGTCGTTAGTTGCCAATATTTATTGTGTTTCCAGTATTATATGTCGGTATATTTTACCCTATGGTTGGCCTCAACAGTGAAATAACCGTAATCTTCAAGTGTCTCGGGATATGTGCTTTGATTGAATTCACAACTTGTAGTTTTGGTCTCTCTCTCTCTCTCTCTCTCTCTCTCTCTCTCTCTCTCTCTCTCACTCTCTCTCTCTCTCTCTCTCTCTCTCTCTCTCATGTATAACAATCNCTCTCTCTCTCTCTCTCTCTCTCTCACTCTCACTCTCTCTCTCTCTCTCTCTCTCTCTCTCATGTATAACAATCTCCTGATTAATTATAATAACAATTTCATGTTTAACCATAGGTTATTTAGTATCATCTTTAAGTAACAATGTAATAATCGCACTGGCCATCGCACCCGTGATAATTATGCCCATGATGATATTAGGCGGCTTTTTCATTAATAACGAGTTAGTTTAACAAATAAAATACCATATTATAATTTTTAAAAATGTATCACCTTATTGTTTACAATAATACAGTGATATACTGGTGTGGATCGCGTGGATAAAATACATTTCGTGGTTCTATTATGGTAACGAAGCGCTTATAATAAACCAATGGCGCGGTATTCAGCACATCGACTGCGAGCATGAAGTGGTCAATGGGACGGCATTGAGACCGTGTACTCCAAACGGAACGGTTGTTATTGAAGTATTGAATTTCAATGAAGATCATTTTGGCCGAGATATTTACCTTTTGACTATTATTTCAATTGTTGTAACAATTCTCGCTTATATAGCACTACTGTTTCGATCGATGCGTAAATGATAATTAAGTTTTATTAATTCTGTATTATAAATTTTTAATTGTATAACATTAATGACTGAATAACACCTAGTCGACAATGAAGTTTATCTAATGGCAAACATTTAAATTTATATTGTGCTAAATATTTTTATTTTAACATAATTAATTGATAAAATAATTTTTTAAATAAAACCAATTATTTTTAAATTATTACAAATGGTAATAATTTTTATAAAGATAATAGTTATTTAACTTTATTATTTAACTTAACAAAATAATTATAATCATTATATAACATGACATTAATTACTTTATGAAAATGAAAACAACATAATAACTAAAAACAATATAATCAAAAGTATAAAACCTGTTACATTGCTACGATATTATCTACTAGATAAATTAAACTTATATATTCACATGTTATTTTTACTAAACAATATTTTTGTTGTGGTTAATTATAATAAAGTAATATATTATTAGATTCTATTTTTAATTAAATATTAAAATATAGATTAATAATAATATAAAATTAACAAGAATGATTTAATTAATAAAACCCCGAATACTCCACTATTTATTTTAGTAATTTAAAAATCTATCATTAGGTTAAACTTAATTTAGTCTTGAAACGGTAAATTGGCATCATGATAAAGTATAATGGCCGAATCCATTCCACCTGCAAAACCTGCGTGAGTATATTTGTCAAATATAGATTTTATTTAATATTTAATATAAGTTATTTTATGTAACAATTTTACTACAGTATATTTATATACTGTTATCTATGTTTCTTAGGTAGCATGTTATAATAATAAAAAACAAATAATTCAAATTGTAAAATTCGTTAGGATTGTTGTTTATTTTAATTTATAAATAATTAATTTACTAAAATGTTTTATCACTTCAATAGGCGATTAAACAGTGCTAATAAAACTAAACATGAAGGTAAACATAGATCAAACAAACTTTGAAAATTAACTCAAACTTTACGATAATAGAGAAAGTTAGCGATATTTTAGCACCGGTGCCGACCAGTAGGCATACCATACAAAAACATATACCACAAGTATCCGGGGCTAAAAGCCTAGGGGAGGGCTTGGAGGCCAATGCAACTACAACATGTTATAACCAGAAATGTGAAAGTGATGAAATTATGAAACAGGTAATTTACAAATTTTTATTGTGTTTATTAAATGTGATTATTATAAATATATTTTTAATAATATCCTGAATAGAAACGCAAGATAACAATATTATTGTTGGGCGAATCAGGTGTGGGAAAGTCCACATTCATTAACGCTATTGTAAACTATTTGTCTTTCGAGAGTATGGATGCGGCGAACGGACGGCCCATATGTTTAATACCCGTCAGCTTTACCACTGGAGACCCGCAGACAGGTAGACCAGTTAGGGTAACACTGGGTAATGATGATGATAATGAAAATACTACTGACCCGACAAAATCTGCCACACAATATCCAAAGTGTTATAAATTTCAAGATGATAATATTAAGCTCAATATTATTGATACGCCGGGAATTGCGGACACGGATGGTGTGGATAAAGATGATAGTAATATGCAAAATATTTTGGATTTTATTAGCAATTATCGGGAAATCAATGCCTTTTGTGTGCTTTTAAAGCCAAATGAAATGAGAGTTGATGTAGTTTTCAAGTATTGTTTATTTCAATTGTTCACTCATTTGAATAA